GAGGTCGAAAGGACCCCAGATAAGTATCCCTAAAGATGGTACTTTTCCTTTCTCCTGGTCTTGGGATTACTGCTTTTCCCATTACTAAGGGTATAAACCTAAGGCTTGGTCTCCTTTCCCTCTCACCCCCCATTGATTCACAGGTGGTCCCTCCTCGAGACCCTCGAATAACCTGGCCTGCTGGACGGGTCATAGGTGTTCAGTACATGCATCTGAGTCCCTTTAGAATAGAGTTTATCTCTGCTGTTTCACCTTGAAACCTGTCATCTGTATGACCGTTGGTTTGAAACTGTCAGCCAAAGCCTAGGTTCCTTCATGGGTTCAAAACTAAAGACTATGAACTCCCTTTGCCCAGAATCCATGAGAGAGAAGTGCATAGTTCAGTATAGAGGGGTAAGAAAAAGACATAACTGTGGGAAAACAATTTGGTGTGGGTGAGTAATCAAGGTGAGAGGGAGATAAAGAGTGCAAGGGTATGATAGCTTGAATGTATCCTCTATAGTCTCAGGAATTTGAATACTTGATCTCAGGGTGGTAAAATTGTTTGGAGAAGTTGAGGAGATATTGTAATGTTGGAGGAACTATGTTACTGGATGACCAGAACTCACAGGAATAAGGGTAGGAGGACGGGGTTAAAAAATAAAGAAAACAAAAAATAAAGAAGAAAACAAGCAGTCACTGAGACAAGGAGGTCCTAGATTAGCTGGTGACTTAAAGCTATGCACATTTAAGAAATACAGAATCATATATACTATATGCAGGGGAGAATAAAAAGAAGAAATCACACCCAAAAGGAGTGGATGGCTAAGATAAACTAAAATTCGAGGCTGAAATTGATAGAACAGAGAAGAAATACAAAGAATCAACAAAACACAGTTGGTTCTCTGAGACAATCAAATTGTCAGACTTGTATCCAAATTAACTAAAAGTGGAAGGGAAAATATTCCAATTAACAAAATGAAAAATAAAAAGGAAGATATAACAGCAATCACTGAGGAAATACCTGGAATCCTAAGGATATAATTTTAAAACCTATATTCTATGAGATGGGAATTGTCCCTCAAAAAAAGAATGCACAAAAAAATGTGGTGCATTTATACAATAAAGTATCACTCAGCAGGTAAAAAAATTACATCATGAAATTTGTAGGCAAATGGGTGGTACTAGAAAAAAATCATCCTTTTACCTGTATGCCTGACTCAGAAAGATAAACATTATATGCATTTGCTGGTATGTTAATATTAGCTGTGATGTCAAGGATCACAAATCTAACTCTAAAGAAATACACACAGTAGTAACAAACTAGAAGGAAGAGATAGACCTCCTTTGGGAAGGTAAATAGAATAGATAGCCATTGTCACCTACTTTGATGATGAGACAGTTACACTAATAGATAGCCAACAAAATTTGTTCTCTTACCCTCTGAAAGAAGAATATCTTCTAGCTCAAAGTTCTGCCTCCTTCCAAAAGAAACAGTTGAACTACCTCTCAGAATGAAGACAAAGATTTTTAGGGATTTGGGCGAAAACTGACTCTCCAGGACTGGCCCAACACTAAGAACCTACAATTACATAACTAGGAAGTGCAGCCTCCCCTGTTAAGATTTAAAACTACACAATGGCCCTGAAAAAAAGGGAAATTGCATTCCATACTGCCTGTCTTGGAAAGATAGGAATGATGGTGCCAGGCCAATCACACTGAAACACAGCTCTCTTGCATGTGAAGTAACCCAGAACTCCGAATCTCATGAGTCTGATTACTCTAGAAAAACTGATGTACACTTTCTTGGACCTGAAGGATTCATTCTTGAACCTCCTATTGGAAAACCTGAGTCAACACAACTTTCATATTAAATGGGCATACCAAAAGAGAGGTTACAGCAGCCAAATTACCTGGACCAGGAATCCCATGGATTTAAAATTTTTTCCAAACCTCTTTGAACTTCTGCACATCAATCAGAGGTTTCAGAGAAAAAATTGATTATAAAAGTGCCACTGAGGGACTACTGCAAATATTAGAGAGCTAAGGTAATAGAATCTCAGCTATAAAAGCTCAACTTTATTTCTTTATTTTCAGGGGTTACTTAACCTTAGCTTCCAGCTGAAGGGAGGCAAAAGGCAACCTGGCTATGAAAAGTCATCTTCTTTTGTTGTTGTTGTTGTTGTTGTTGTTTTTGCTGCTGCTGCTGCTGTTGCTGCTGCTGTTGTTTTTTGAGAGAAGATTTCTCTGTGTAACAGTCCTGACTGTGCTGGAACTAATTAGTGGACAAAGCTGGTCTCAAACTCACAGAGCTCTGCCTGCTTCTGCCTCCCAAGTGCTGGGATTAAAGGCATGCACCATCACCTACCGGCTGAAATGTCATCTTCTGAGTAATGCACAGCCATTGCAATCACAAACTCTCAACATATTGATGAGTACAGAGGATGAACAGCCAGGAATAGATGAAGGAGGGTCACAGAGGACCCATTATCCCTCACTGATAAACTGCTTCCTAGCTGTAGATTCAGATGGGAAAGAGTCATTTCCTCTATTGTATGCACAGGGGTAACTGACCAGGCTCAAGAGAATAGTCTCAGTCCAGTTGTCACATATAGGTCTCTGATTAAATGAGTCACAGCCCACAGTCATGAATATGGAAAAGTGATGGAACAGGAACATGCTATGGACTTCTAAACCCTTGGAAAAGTCCATGACAATCCAATTATGATTAAGAGAATTGTTGATTATTGTTAACAGGACAACAATATCCTAGCCAAAATATAGAATGCCATGAAAAAAGGGGAAAGGGAAGGACTTTTAAGGGGAAAAAACACAAGAAGAACATTGGTATCTGCACAAGCTAGCCAGAAGCTCTTTTGCTCTTCCAAAACTAAGTAGTCAAAGCAACCTCAAAATGGTCCTTGACTGTCTACATAACCAGGAAACAAAATCCAAAAAGAATGTAGTAATATCACAAGAAGGAGATATTTACTGTGCATTTCTGGGGGGGGGACACTGAGTCGGGCTTACTAGGAAATTATCTTGCATGAACTTGAGTCAGAGACAAACAACTAGGAGTCACCGAAATAAATGCCTAGAAAAAAAATGGAGTATTTTCTATAGTCATTGCAAAGAAATGCAGTTTTTAAGGAGAGAGATGTATATAAAAAATGGTGTGGGGGGGGGCTGGAGAGGTGGCTCAGAGGTTAAGAGCACTGGCTGCTCTTCCAAAGTTCCTGAGTTCAATTCCCAGCAACCACATGATGGCTCACATTCATCTCTAGTGTGAACGGATGCCCTCTTCTGGCATAAAATCATAGGGCACTCATATTTTTAAAATAAATTTAAAAAAAGAAAAAAAAGAAAAGAAAAATGGTGTGGGGAGAGCACAAGCAAAATGCATTTTGTACAAGTAGATGATTATGAGATATTGACAAAGAAATAAGTTATTTAAAAAAAACATACGACACAACTGCAAAGGATCTATCTAAGTCATACAATCAAGGCCAGCATATCATTCCCTCTCATGATGGCATTGAAGACACTATGTAGCCAAAGGAGGCCTGCAATGAGTATTTCCCCTGCCTGCATCTTCTACTTAACAGGAACTACCTGTGTTCTTATTTTTTAATTTCTTCCTCTACCATTTCCGTCTTTATTCCTAATGTGGAATATGTTTCTGTTCTCTTTCTGTAGTCTCGATATGACAATGAGGTCATTGATGTAGAAGGCATTTGATGTATTTATTAATGCTTTGGACCAGGAAGCTATAACAACCCAAGACTGTCTAGGAGGCCCTGATGAAAGGAGAAAGGGAAATTTATTCCAATGTCCTCATCCAAGATCAGACATGAAGCCAGTCTGATGCTGGGGTCATTGCCTCCTAGTAGATGAAGTTGCAGGTCTGTGGACAGGACTCTGCCTCCATGGCTTGGTTCTTATCCTAGTGGATCTGTCTGATGTTCCCCATGCTTTCTTTCTCAAAACAGACTTGTCTCTCTGCTAAACTTGCCCCTTTCCCTACTGCTAATAGTATATGAACTAGTATGTCTCTTAATAGATTTGTGTGGTGTAAGGTATAACTTTTGCAATAACTCTCATCTAATTGTTGATTTTCACTTCTTTATTTCGTACACTATGTCTTACTGCTCAACCCCTCAGTTTTCAGGACCCTTACTCATGCTTGTTCAGATCAGTTCTGAACGACTCTGGTTCACACTACATTATATTAAGCTGACTTCATCATTCAATTTTGGCTTTATTGAGATATCATTGACAAAAGGTATATATTCAGG